GGGGGGCACTGCAGAAAGAATGTAACAGAGGGGTTGGGATGATTTTGACTTTCGTGCTAGCAGCTAGTTTTCCTTTCCAGCTCAGAAAAATTGGGATCAAACGGAACGTTCTTCTAGACTGTAAAAGTATTATACTTGTGCTCAATTTTGGCCCTTTCTCGATATATGAGCAACCGAAATAGCACAATCATAATATAAGCAGAGGGATTCCAAACATATACACTATATTTAACCGTACCTATATATGGTATCCATAACACTCCATAGCTATCGATAACACTCCACTGGTATCCATAACACTCCATAGCTAACTATAGCACTCCACTGGTATCCATAACACTCCCCATAGCTATCTATACCACTCCACTGGTATCCATAACACTCCATAACCATCGATAACACTCCACTGGTATCCATAGCACTCGATATCAATCGATAACACTCCACTGGTATCCATAACACTCCATAGCTATCGATAACACTCCACTGGTATCCATAACACTCCATAGCTATCTATAACACTCCACTGGTATCCATAACACTCCATAGCTTTCTATAACACTCCATAGGTATCTACAACAATCCATAGCTATCTATAACACTCCACTGGCATCCATAACACTCCATAGCTATCCATAACACTCCATAGCTATCTATAACACTCCACTGGTATCCATAACACTCCATAGCTATCTATAGCACTCCACTGGTATCCATAACACTCCATAGCTATCTATAACACTCCACTGGTATCCATAACACTCCATAGCTATCTATAACACTCCACTGGTATCCATAACACTCCATAGCTATCTATAACACTCCACTGGTATCCATAACACTCCATAGCTATCTATAACACTCCACTGGTATCCATAGCACTCCATAGCTATCGATAACACTCCAATGGTATCCATAACACTCCATAGCTATCTACAACACTCCATAGGTATCTACAACGCTCCATAGCTATCTATAACACTCCACTGGTATCCATAAGACTCCATAGCTATCTATACCACTCCACTGATATCGATAACACTCCATACCTATCTATAACACTCCACTGGTATCCATAACACTCCATAGCAATCTATAACACTCCACTGGTATCCATAACACTCCATAGCTATCGATAACCCTCCACTGGTATCCATAACACTCCATAGCTATCTATACCACTCCACTGGTATCCATAACACTCCGTAGCTATCTATAACACTCCACTGGTATCCATAACACTCCATAGCTATCTATACCACTCCACTGGTATCCATAACACTCCATAGCTATCTATAACACTCCAATGGTATCCATAACACTCCATAGCTATCTATAGCACTCCACTGGTATCCATAACACTCCATAGCTATCTATAGCACTCCACTGGTATCCATAACACTCCATAGCTATCGATAACCCTCCACTGGTATCCATAACACTCCATAGCTATCGATAACACTCCATAGGTATCTACAACATTCCATAGCTATCTATAACACTCCACTGGTATCCATAACACTCCATAGCTATCTATAACACTCCACCGGTATCCAAAACACTCCATAGCTATCTATAACACTCCATAGGTTTCTACAACACTCCATAGCTATCTATAACACTCCACGGTATCCATAACACTCCATAGCTATCTATAACACTCCACTGGTATCCATAACACTCCATAGCTATCTATAACACTTCAAAGGTATCTACAACACTCCATAGCTATCTATAACACTCCACTGGCATCCATAACACTCCATAGCCATCTATACCACTACAATGGTATCCATAACACTCCATAGCTATCTATAGCACTCCACTGGTATCCATAACACTCCATAGCCATCTATAGCACTCCAATAGTATCCATAACACTCCATAGCTTTCTATAGCACTCCACTGGTATCCATAACACTCCATAGCTATCGATAACACTCCACTGGTATCCATAACACTCCATAGCTATAGATAGCTATGGAGTGTTATGGATACCAGTGGAGTGCTATAGATAGCTATGGAGTGTTATGGATACCAGTGGAGTGTTATCAATAGCTATGGAGTGCTATGGATACCAGTGGAGTGTTATAGATAGCTATGGAATGTTATGGATACCAGTGGAGTCTTATAGATAGCTGTGGAGTGTATGGATACCAGTGGAGTGCTATAGATAGCTATGGAGTGTTATGGATACCAGTGGAGTGTTATCAATAGCTATGGAGTGTTGTAGATACCTATGGAGGGTTATCGATAGCTATGGAGTGTTATGGATACCAGTGGAGTGTTATAGATAGCTATGGAGTGTTATGGATACCATTGGAGTGTTATCGATAGCTATGGAGTGCTATGGATACCAGTGGAGTGTTATAGATAGGTATGGAGTGTTGTAGATACCTATGGAGTGTTATAGATAGCTATGGAGTGTTATGGATACCATTGGAGTGCTATAGATAGCTATGGAGTGTTATGGATAACAGTGGAGTGTTATAGATAACTATGGAGTGTTATGGATACCAGTGGATTGTTATAGATAGCTATGGAGTGTTATGGATACCAGTGGAGTGCTATAGATAGCTATGGAGTGTTATGGATACCAGTTGAGTGTTATAGATAGCTATGGTGTGTTATGGATACCAGTGGAGTGTTATAGATAGCTATGGAGTGTTGCAGAAACCTATGGAGTGCTATCAATAGCTATGGAGTGTTATGGATACCAGTGGAGTGTTATCGATTGCTATGGAGTGCTATGGATACCACGGAGTGTTATCGATAGCTATGGAGTGTTATGGATACCAGTGGAACGTGGTAGATAGCTATGGAGTGCTATGGATACCAGTGGTGTGCTATAGATAGCTATGGAGTGTCATGGAAACCAGTGGAGTGTTATAGATAGCTAGGGAGTGTTATGGATATCAGTGGAGTGTTATCGATAGCTATGGATACCAGTGGAGTGTTATAGATAGCTATGGAGTGTTGTAGATACCTATGGAGTGTTATAGATAACTATGGAGTGTTATGGATATCATTGGAGTGCTATAGATAGCTATGGAGTGTTATGGATACTAGTGGAGTGTTATAGATAGCTATGGAGTGTTATGGATACCAATGGAGTGTTATAGATAGCTATGGAGTGTTATGGATACCAGTGGAGTGTTATACATAGCTATGGAGTGTTATGGATACCAGTGGAGTGTTATAGATAGCTATGGAGTGTTATGGATACCAGTGGAGTGCTATAGATAGCTATGGAGTGTTATGGATATCAGTAGAGTGTCATAGATAGCTATGGAGTGTTATGGATACCAGTGGAGTGTTATAGATAGCTATGGAGTGTTGTAGATACCTATGGAGTGTTATCGATAGCTATGGAGTGTTATGGATACCAGTGGAGTGTTATCGATTGCTATGGAGTGCTATGGATACCAGTGGAGTGTTATCGATAGCTATGGAGGGTTATGGATACCAGTGGAACGTTGTAGATAGCTATGGAGTGCTATGGATACCAGTGGAGTGTTATAGATAGCTATGGAGTGTTATGGATACCAGTGGAGTGTTATCAATAGCTATGGAGTGTTGTAGATACCTAGGGAGTGTTATCGATAGCTATGGAGTGTTATGGATACCAGTGGAGTGTTATAGATAGCTATGGAGTGTTATGGATACCAGTGGAGTGTTATAGATAGCTATGGAGTGTTATGGATACCAGTGGAGTGTTATAGATAGCTATGGAGTGTTATGGATACCAGTGGAGTGTTATAGATAGCTATGGA